TATTCATTTTGTTTACCACTATTGTCAATATATATAGTGGTAATGTTTTGAGAATTTTATTGTATATATTTGATCTTTAAATTTTGCTTGCAGTTGAGAAATGTTAAATTCTATAAATGTGGTTTTGGAAACACTATATAATACTAATTAATTTTTTTTTAACAAAAAACACTTTTGTAAGCAAGCGCTATAGTAAGTAGAACTTTCTGTAGCGCTTTGTTAAGGAAGCGCTACAGAAGGTGGCAAAACTCTTGTAGCACTTCCTTTTTTTTTTTTTTTTTGTGAAAAACACTTTTGTAGCGCTTTCTTAAGCTAACGCTATAATAAGTAGAACCTTTTGCACCGCTTTGTTAAGGAAGCGCTACAGAAGATAGCAAAACTCCTACAACGCTTCCTGGAAGAAGTGCTCCAGGAGTGCCTTGAACTCCTGTAGCGCTTTCTCAGGAAAGCACTACAAGAAGTATATAACCTATAGCGCTTTCTCAGGAAAGCGTTACAGGAGGTCCCCTCCTATAGCATTTTGAAAGCGCTATAGCTTATATCCACACCCTTCCGTAGCAGGTGTTAATGTAGTATTTCGAAAATACTACAAAAATGAAAAAATAAGTGCTATAGTTAGTATTTTTTGTAGTAATGTGACTATATTTAGTAGAAAGATGAAGAATTATTTAAAGTTTTTATAAATCATGGTCAAAAAAATTTAAAAGCTTTTAAATTTTATAAATTTATAAAAGTTTTTATAAATTCACTGGTTTCGCTTTGTTTAGCAGCTAAAATTGATGGAGTATGAGATAAGGAATAATTAGAATTGAATTAGATTAATTATGCTATCCGTTAGGGATTTGAAGATACTCATATATTAAAATTAAGATTTATTATATCAACAAAAATTTCTTGTCATTTGTAAATTAAGTATCATAAAATAAAGTATTGTTACCAAACTTAATTTGGGATTAGTAATTTCCAGTTTCTTTTTTTTTAATCATTCTCCTTTTGTTTAATTCTTGCAATTAGTAAACTTTCGAAGAAAAGGAAATTTCTTTTGAAAATTTTGAACTTTCACAAAAAAAAAAAATCCCCGTGAGAATAACACATACTTATGACCCTATCTCCAAAGAACAATGCATTCAATATTATAAATCTGCAAAAAGAAAAAAAAGATTAAACAACCAAATATGTGATAATTGATCCAAAGTTTCAAACCCTCAATGCTTATAATTAGAGAGATATTGCAAATCGCAGATCGTCAATACAATATTGCGTGATTTATTTTAAATTTTAAATATGCAAATGGGTGCATTTTTAAATTAACATGCCCATGCATTAAACTAAATAAATCACGTCATAAACTGACCACATTAGTTAAAATGTTCTTATTAACAAACGATTTTGGCATCCAGTGAACAATAATTGAGTACCAACTTACTAAAGGCTCGACCATGAAACGTGGTTGAATTTAAAAAATATAAAAAGATATAAACAATTCAAATAAAATCTCGCTATAACATTTAGACGACGTGTGATCAGGTCAAAATATAAGCATATCTACAGAGAAGGCGACATGAAAGTTAATTAAAAGGAAAAACTGTTGCAAATCTCAATTATTATGTTTGTCATCTTCTGGACAGGACCTAATCAGCAATTACATTTCTTGATTCTCCCCTTCATCACGACAATTATATCATTCTTAATTTTATATTATTCTCGTACAGCTATTAATAACGCAAATGTATAGATCGCTTTGCTTATAATAAATTCTTGGCGTATATGATTTTGGATTAAGTAGCATTTAAATCATGAAGTATTCTTTTAGTAACACTTAAAATTTTAAATTAATTTTTATATATGTAATGACTTAAAATATTTTTGAATGGCATTCTATATTCTAAAATAGTTTTTTGTGTATCTGCTATCTTAAAATATTTTTTAACAGTGCTCAATATCTTAATTATATTTAAGATGTTTATTGTTGCTTAGAAAAATATTTTGAAAATAAACTTTTACCGAAAATCATTTTAACAAACTAGATACAACTTACAAAATATTTTAGGATGTTAAATGTATCAAAATTAGTTTGGATGTTTCAGTGTGTTTAGAAAAATAATTCCTCGTGATGGATCTAATCTAACTTTATAAATTTTTATGATTTATTTTTCTAGCATTGATATTTTCACAATGTGTCATCATAAATTATTGTACGGACCTGCTGGCCAGTACGTAGAAGTTACAAATTCACTAGATGTAACTCGGCATCCTTTCAATTTCATCAGAGATCGAAGGGACCGCGAGGTATAACTTGAAACATGCATATCAGTGAGAGCAGATTAATTTATTTATCCTATTAATTCTCACATACGTACTTGATAAAATATTTATTACTCCTATCCTAATCTACATTAGTAATTAAACAAAAAGCTACGATGAAGGTGATATCTTCCTTAACTGTAGTCATACTTTTAATCATGATTCATGAAATATAAAGTACGTATGGGGGGGTTTTATTTCAGTTTACATAAGCTCCAAACAAACAATACTCATCTATATTGGGTGTAACCTTTAAGTTATATTACTATCCTGCATGCTATCTTTTATATAAGTAATAATTTTTTAAGTATGAGATTACATCTATTTTTTCGTATTCTCTTTATAGAGAATTATAAAGAGGTCCCGAGAAAGAATTTAATTATCAAAAAGTTCTAATGACAAGTAAACCTATTATTATTCCCTACTCTGGACTCTTCCATCACTCGTCAAAAGGCAATTAAATATGTTCTTTGGAACCTGATTATAATCCTCCTTTTATTTTTCTCATTTACTTTTTCACTCACTCTCATAAATAAGGGTATCAAAAAACATATTTCTTACATATTTGTTTGCCTTTAATTAATTTTAATAATTGATTTACATGATTTAGTTATTATATTCAGGATAGGATAGAGCAAGGAATTTTTTTATTCTTCGTGAAAATTTCTCTCTAATTAACATAAAACGTCCTGGGTTTTCCTATTTCACGGCCCTTCATTATTATATGAACCACAACTGTTTGATTTTGGGGGGAAAAAAAAACTCCCAATCACTGCTTTTGCGAGCAAGAAACATGGAATGGAAAGACCACTATCACTAATAAAAGCTTCAGTCAGGTTCACATGTTAAAATACACGTATGTGCACTTGTAAATTAATATATAAATAATTATAAATTTTTGCATCAGAGTATAAATTAGATTTGTAATTTTTCATATGGATATTTGTTATTGTTAGTTGTTATACAATGCATATGTGCACTTATAAATTCACCTATGAAATCACTATTTAATAAAAGGCTTTCGGCGACAACTTTGAGATGTTACAAAAAAAGTCACTGTTAAAAGTCAACTTTCAATAGCAACACTAGAAAGTCACCGCTAAAAGTTGACTTTATGTAGTGACTTTATTTGTTGCAGTTGAAAATCGTCAGTGGTGACAAAAAAGTTGCCCCTGAAAGTACATCTTTTAGCAGTGGCACAAAAAGTCGCCTTTGAATGTGAGACCTTTAGTGGCAACATATTCTATCACCACTGAAGGACTCACTTTCAGCAGCGACTTTCTAGGATTGTTGTTGAAAGTTGACTTTTAGTTGCGACCATTAGTGTTACCGCTAAAACTCTTTGGGTTCTCCATTCAACCTCAAACTTTTAGCTATGACTTTCTAATGTTGCTGCTAAAAGTATAATATGATAATATATATTTTATTTTACAATAACAATTAGCAAATCTAGTCAACTCAACGGCAAGAAGATTGGACATGAATGAAGGGATGACAAGTTTGAACCTTGAAGAAGACACATTTAAGCTGAAAATATTTCAACGGTGACGTGGCAGTGAGTGGTGATGTGGTAACAATGTGGGATTTGACTAGTGATGGCGTGGTGCCGATAAAGCCAGTTTTTCTCCAGCATCACTTTCAGCGGTGACTTTTGGCTGTGACAGTTTGTTGCCATTGAAAATTCTTTTTAGCAGTGATAAAAATGTGACCGCCAAAAGCACCTTTTAGCGGTGACAAATGTCATTGTTCAAACTTACAAAAGTCACCATTGAAATCGTCTTTTAGCAGTGGCTGCTAAGCCAATGACTTTTTAGCAGCGACATTTTGTTGCTGTTGGAAATCAATTTTTTTTGTAGTGAATATAAACACTTGTTATTTTGCTATTGTTAGTTATTAAAATGCATATTTATTACGAACACTTATCTTTAAGATTTTTGTTGATTCTGATAGGATAGGATATGCTGAAAGTAATTTATAAATAAAATAAATACATGAATGCTTTGTTCCTTTTGGAAATAAATTGAAAGGATCAACTTTGGCCTTAATTTATTTGAACCAACGTGTGGAACTGGTAATTGTCATTGAAGTACATAAATTCAACCTCCTTGCATGGTAGCAATCCAGCTTTTAACCGTTGTGGTTGATTGATGGGAGAATCACGATAAGGTCTCAAAGAAAAAATATATTCATAAAAAGTTCCATAACAACTGAATAGAAAACGATGACAGGTTTCAATTGCTCACTTATCATTAGGGCTTATTAATAATTATCTTCCTTCTTTGTACCTCACACTAATTCTCCGTTGATTAATTCCCAAGTCAAGATCCTCATAGTTGAGGAATGCTGCTCTAGACTTCTTTGACACACAGCCATTCATGTGAGGATATTACAAAATATGTCAATAATAAAATTAAAGGAAAAGCACTATGGCAAATAATCTCAGTTATTATTATACATGTCATCTTCTGCCGAGGACCTAACATTTATACTATACTATTTCTTAATTAATTCTCCTCTTCATCATGACAATTATGTTATTCTCGTATGATTATTACTAACACATAATTTTATATTATTTTCTTACAATTATTGCACCATTATTGAATACCTAAAATGCCACTCATCAGGATTGAATGAGTTCTATAAATAGAAGCCCTCATCTTCTCGTTTCCTCACCACCACCAAGCAATATAACAATGAAGACTACCTTGTTTGCCCTCTTCCTCTTCTTCTTTGCCTTAGTTTCGGCCAAACCAGCTTTTGTTGACACTGATGGCAACAACATTATAAATGGAGGCTATTACTATATCCTCCCTGTTGTCTGGGGACCAGGTGGTGGCGTTGACATAGCCTCCACAAGCAACGAAACCTGTCCTCTTAGCGTTGTTCAAACTTCATCTGAACTCTTCAACGGTTCGCCTATCAGAATTTCTTCTCCCCACAAAATCGCTGAGCTCGAAACAAACTATATCTTGGACCTCACCGTGGTTGCGCCACCTAGTTGCGCAGACACTCCGGCGACGTTGACGGTTGTGAGTGAAGACGATGCGACAGCGAAGGTGAAACTCGCTGGGTATGGAAACGCAGTAAGTGGTTGGTTTAAAGTTCAAGCACTTAATGGATTTTGGATGAAGAAAGGGGTTTGGATCTATAAGATTGAGTTCTGTCCCACAGTTGGAAATAGTTGTGGAGATGTTGGGATTTCTTACGATGATAAGGGAAACAGGCTTTTGGCAATAAGTCATAATAACCCTTTCATGGTTGTGTTTGGCAAAGCTGAATCATCTGCTGAGTGAAAAGCCTATTGCAGTGTTGAAGCCACCGCTGAATGTAAGTCACTACAAAAATCTGGACTTTCAGCGACCACTTTCAGCGGCGACAAAGGGAGTCGCCACTGAAAATATGACTTGCAGCGGCGACAATAGTTGTCGCCGCTGAAAGTAGGCCTTTCTGCGGTGACAAGTATGTCGCCGCCAAAAGTGAGAGTTATGGCGGCGACTTATTATTGTCGCCGCTGTAGCTGCAACTTTCAGCGGCGACAAAATTTGTCATCGCCGAAAGTGTGCACTACGGCGGCGACAATTCAAGTCACCGCTGAATGTGGTTTTAGCAGCCACAGTTCTTCTTTCAGCGGCGACACTTCCTGTTGCTGCTGAATGTCGCTTTCAGCGGCGACCTTTTGTCGCCGTTGAATCCTCTTTCAGCGGCGACGCTTCCTGTCGCCGTTGAATATAGCTTTTAGCGGTGACCTTTTGTCGCCGCTGAATCTTCTTTCAGCGGTGACTCTTCCTATCGCCGCTGAAAGTTTTTTCACATTTTTTTAATCTTTTTTTTTTGTAAAAATTTTATATTATAATCTTTTATTTGCGTAATTAAGTAACTTTGATAATTAATGTTTTTTTATGTATTTTTGTGTTAGAGAGAGACTAAAAGAAAGATAATATGGTGTTTGAGAGAGAAAGGAAGAGGAAGAAAGTTTGGAGTGTGTGTTTAACACACATATCCCATATCCAAATGTTTGAGAGATGGAATAGAAAAACATTATGCATGGGAGAGAAATGAGATGGAGGCATGCATGAAAAAGTATGCAAGTTTGATGGGATAAGTAATGAAATATAGAGAGTGTGTGTGAGAGGGTGAGAGGGTGAGAGGTGAGAGGTGAGAGGTAGATGTAAATATTATTGGAAGAGAGATAGTCTGTATGTGTGTGAGAGAGAAGGATATTATAATTGAAAGAGATAACATAATTAAATATATGTGAGAGATTATTATAATTAAATTAGTGTGAGCATACTTAATTGACATAATAATATTTGATGATGAACATATGTATGAGAGGATTGAGAAATAAAATCATTAAAGGAGATAATATAATTAATTAAAAATGTGTGAGAGATATAGATAATAAAATCATGTATATAGTTAATTAAATATTATTACTATTTATATTTTTTAATTTAAAATGTGATTAATTAAATTTTGTAAAACATATACAGTTGCATATTATATATATATTTTCTATTGCTCAATGGTTTCAATTAAATTTATTAGCCTGGTTGGCCACGCTTGTTCGTTTCAGTGTAGAGGTCCTGTGTTCGAATCTGGAAAATGCCCAATTTTTACACATTAATTTTGGCTCAAAAAGGTTAAAAAACACATTTAATGTTACCTAGCTGGTCCAAACAGGGGACCTGGTAATTATAATAGCTAACACTCCCCCTGCCACTGAAGCCACGTGTGTTATTGGCAAGGCTGGCACATTGTTTTTGTATCTAAAGTTTCTTATTTTGAAACCCAAAACAATTTAACCCGCCCTAATCTTCTGAAAGTTTACTTTTCCCTCGCTCTCACCAGACCAGCGCCGCGCACACAGAGAAGTTTCAAGCATCTAACTTATTCCAGCATCCATCTGTGCTTAGTCCATCACTTCCAGTGTTCTTTCTTGCTGTCATCCATGTAAGTACGCTGATCTTCTTCTTCGCTTGAAGTCTTGTAGTGCTGTATTTTTTCCCCCTTTCTTGTTCTGTATTTTGAGATCCAATTTTTTTTCCTCCGGCATTAAATTTCACAGCTGAACACAGAAGGTTGCGAGAAGCGAGTGGATCCTCGTTGGGTGAAATCGTTGTTGGAGGCTTGCAAGAACAAAGATCCATTGCAACATTCTTCTGGCTGCAATCAAACCAACAAATTCTTCCCCAATTTTTGCGTTACCTGCTTGCAATTATACTGCAAATTTTGCCCTAAAGCAACCAATAATCACCCACATGAAAACCATATAGTACTTCCCGTGGGTGTCTCTGTAATTCTTTTATTTGTACATATATACTCTCCCTTTCAAGGTTACCGTGTTAATTAATAATTATTATGTGGACTTGTATTTTCCAGGTTTACAAGGCTTCGCGCGAGAACTGTTTGCATGCAAATTAGGTGTCTAAGTTACTTGATATCTCAGACATACATCCTTCATGTCAACAAACCAAGTCGAACGATCGGGAACTGCCCTTGGTCGCGGAGTGCACGAGCTCCGAGCGGTTCAATTGTCTGTCGTAGGGAAAGAGTAGTTCTGCCTCTGAAGGTTTCTCCCTTGGGCTCGTTGCTGGTGGCCTGGTCGATGGCAATATTGGCCTCTGGAATCCTCTCGCTCTGATCCGGTAATTGGGCTTTGCTCTTTTGGGTTGTTTACCTTGGATCTTTGAGAATGAATGTATTTGGGGTGATGTGAGTTCTGTGTGATTGGACACCTGCTGGGAATGTGGTTCAACTGAGTGAATTTGGAACCGTGGGAACCTCGTTGCGACATAGGTGATGGATGGGTGCTGAATTGTTTCGGGGATTTTGAATAATTCCACTGACTTTTAGATGGAGGGTGATGAATGATTCAGTTTCATTCATTTAGGAAACTGAGTGGGAGAAAATCTTATTATATAACATGATTTATTATAAATTAAAATCAACTTGTTATTGTTGTTTTCTAATTTCCTTCTCTATTTGATGCTGTTAATCATGATTGGTTCGTATGAGAGCCCTGCCAATTGCCACTTTTCCATAAAAAAGAATGAAGTTCAAATATTCCAAAGAAAATGCAAAATAGTGGGAGCCCCATGTTGATAAGGACTTGATATAAATAGAGAAACATAGATTATGGCTAAGTTAGTAAAAGAAGGGAAGGACCTTTGTGTGAAGTGACTTGTGATTAACTATCTCATCAATGACAGCTTCGAAGAAGATGAAGAAGAAGAAGAGTAGTACAGAAGCTTCTTGTGTTGAAATCTTTTTTATGTATCATTTTACAGTTTTCAATAAAATTGTGATGAAAGTGTTAATTATTGATGGAGTAAATTGGAAGTTTATTGATACTGTTACGTTAATTATATGCATGTTAACAAAAAGTTGTATATTTGGACCTTGTAGGATTACCAAAACTTGCATGAGAAGTATTATATTATATATATACACACATATATATAGAGACTAGTATATTGTTTTATGTTTGGTTTCCAATATCTTATAGGCGGATTGCTTTTGCTGTTCAAGATGGGAAACTTGATTCCTCGGGAGAAGACTGGGAAATTTTAAATTATCATAAGTGATTAGCAAAACCTGAGTACTGTTGTTTATAGATGCTTTTTATTATGATATATATAATGATCTTCATCCATTCCAATTTGACAGCCTGCAAGAAACAAATAGTTAAGCAGCTTTGTACGTTGCAGAAAATTGTTTTGGAGGGGGATATTACAACAGAAGATGATAAGACTTAGCTTGTACATTTGATTATTACGAGATCTCTTAATAGTGCAAGCAAAAAGGATCACTAGCTAGGGCGAGTAGTAAAGCTCTTGTCACTTGTAAGTTAACAGTTTATCATCTTCACCTTGCGTTTGCGTTGACTCTGTGATGCTTTGTTAGTTTGGCTTATATACTGCGTTGAAATGAATCAGCTTTTTAGAAGTAAGATACATATATATCATATATAATTTTCTTTTCTTGGTCAACTCAACCTTATTCATTTCTATTTATTTCTTGCACTTTAATATTTATTGTTTTTCCTTTTCTTACATTAATCTTCAACTTTTGTGAAATAGAAATGGATAAAAGTTGGTTAGATATTAAAGACAGAGGCAACCTAAGATATATTAAAGGAGTAGATGGTTTTCTCGAATGGGCTTTTACTCAGAATGGAGTGACAAGCAAAATACGATGTCCTTGTAAAAAATGTATGAATGTCATATTCAAAGCGAGAAGAGATGTCAGGGTTGACTTATTGAGTAAGGGTTTTTGGGATAATAAGGTGTGGGACTTGCATGGGGAAATTATTAGATGTCAAAGTGATTGTGAGACTTCAAGTACAGCAGCAGAACATGATACTTATGGGGAGAACCTTACAAGGATGGTATGTGATGCATATAATGTTCCTTCTATGAATGATATGAACAATGAATTAAATGAGAATGAAGAGCCTAATGTGCATGCCAAAAGGTTCTACGACTTATTAAAGGATGCAGAGACAGAACTTTATCCAGGTTGTGAGAAGATGTCAAAAATTGTCTTTTATTGTAAAATTGCTTCAATTAAAGTGTCTTAACCATTGGAGCAATAAATCTATGGATGCATTGTTGGCCCTATTGAAAGATGTTCTTCCAGAAGGGGCTTTAGTGCCAAACTCATTTTATGAAGCTAAGAAGATAATTCGTGATTTGGGTTTAGATTACAATAAAATTGATGCTTGTGGAAATGATTGCATATTATACTGGGGGGAACATGCAAATGAAGAATCATGTCCTAAGTGCAAGATGTCTAGATGGAAGTTGAACAGGCAAAGAGGAAAAAAAATTGCCCAGAAAGTCTTAAGGCATTTTCCGATAATACCTAGGTTACAAAGGCTTTATATGGCAAGAGACACTGCTAAAGAAATGAGGTGGCATAAGGAGAAGCACACAAATGATGGTGTATTGAGACATCCAGCTGACTCTCTTGCTTGGCAACACTTTGACCAACAATATCCTAGCTTTTCTACTGATCCAAGAAGTGTTAGATTAGGTTTGGCAAGTGATGGATTTCAACCTTTTGGGAATATGAGTGCCAATCATAGCATTTGGCCTGTAGTTTTGGTACCATATAATTTGCCACCATGGCTTTGCATGAAAAGCCCATATTTTATGATGACACTTCTTATTCCTGGTCCAAAGTGTCCAGGTAATGAAATAGATGTTTACTTACAACCAATGATTGAGGAGCTGAAACAATTGTGGGAAGTAGGGGTGCAAACATATGATGCATTTTCTCAATCAAATTTTATGATGTATGCAGCAGTGTTGTGGACGATAAATGATTTTCCCGCATATGGAAATCTTTCAGGATGGTCAACTAAAGGCAAGTTTGCATGCCCTTGTTGTCACAAAGACACGCATTGCATTTCATTAAGGAGCAAGTTATCTTATATGGGTCATAGGCGTTTTCTTCCACAAAATCACCCATGGCGCAAAGATGCAAAATCATTTGATGGAAAAGAAGAACTCAGAGCTCCACCAATTCCATTAACTGGAGATGATGCACTTATGCAATTAGAACAATTGGGTAATATATCATTTGGAAAAGGCCAAAACGAAAACGCCCTACAGATAGTAAGGCTTATAATTGGAGGAAAAGAAGCATTTTTTTCCAATTGCCTTATTGGAAAAATTTGTTGATACGACATAATCTTGATGTGATGCATATAGAAAGAAATGTTTCTGATAATCTTGTATCGACAGTGATGGATTTACTTGGAAAGACAAAGGACACATTAAAAAGTAGGTATGATTTGGTGGATTTGGGCATTAGGAGTAATTTGCACCCGATTAAGAATGGTAATGATGTTTATAAGCCTCCTGCTCCTTATCCTTTTGTAAATTCTTGGCTAACTTAAAAGTACCTGATGCTTTTGCATCTAATATCTCAAGGTGTGTCAACATTCACGAGCGAAAAATATTTGGTTTGAAGTGTCATGATCACCATGTGCTATTGCAGGAAATATTTCCAATTGCAATACGTGGGTTACTGCCTCCCCAAGTATGTGAACCAATAATACAATTGGGAAGATTTTTTAAAAATCTTTGTTCAAAGTGTTTAACATGTGAAGAACTTGACAAACTTCAAAGTCAAATAGAAATAACTTTGTGCAAGTTAGAGACCATATTCCCACCTGCCTTTTTTGACGTAATGGTTCACTTGCCTATACACTTGGCGGGAGAGGCAAAAGTTGGTGGGCCAGTTCAGTATCGTTGGATGTACCCCATAGAAAGGTAATTCGCTTTAACAAGGTTACTTTACAATTATATTTATAATCTATCATTTAAAACCATTCAATAAGGCTTGACTTTTTGTTGTAGGTATTTGCGAACTCTAAAGTCATATGTTGGCAATAAGGCCCAACCTAAAGGATCAATTGCAGAAGGATATTTGGCAGATGAAAGTCTAACTTTTTGTTCACGATACTTGAAAGACATTCCTACTAAATTTAATGTGCAGCATCGGAATGATGACATCAGTGATAATAATATCAGTAATGAGCTTTCGGTGTTCAAGAAAAGTGGTGAAGCTAGAGGACATTTTGAGTCAGTCTCTCTTTCTTATGAAGAGTATTGTCAAGCAAGAATGTATGTGCTCCAAAATTGTGAAGAAACTTGGCCATTCATAGAGTACGTCAACTTAATTTAACAAGAATGAATTTGTTATAATTTATATTTTTCTCACTTGTGTAAAAACATGTAGGGAACACAGGAGAGAACTTGAAGCTCGGGGATTAATGAGTGAGCAAAAGCAATATAAAGAGTTTCCTGATTGGTTCCGTTCACGAGTAAGTTCTAGACTTTGAGCTTTGAAGTTTATATTAATAATATTAATGCATATTGAAGGAATGGTTCTTCTTTAATAGGTGATAGCATTGTCCACACAAGGCTTTGTAAGTCCTGAACTCAAAAGTTTATCAATTGGTCCATCGAGAGTGGTCAATCGTTACTCTATGTTTATAGGCAATGGATTTCGTTTTCATGCAAAAGATCGGGCAATAGGAAAAAGAACTCAAAATGATGGAGTCATGGCCAAGGGTGATGACACTGATGCTAATAAAGAATATTATGGTGTGTTAGAGCATATTTATGAGTTATCTTACATAGAGAATAAAAAATTATACTTGTTTAAGTGTCACTGGTGGGATGTCGCTAACTATGGCGAAGGATATAAGGTGGATAAGTATGGGTTCACAAGTATCAACACTCAATGTTCATTACAAACTAATGAACCATTTATTTTAGCATCTCAAGCAGAGCAAGTTTTTTATGTGGATGATATTGTTGACCCGGGTTGGATTGTTGTTGTCAAAACGAATCCACGTGACTTGTTCAATATGCCGATTGAGAATGTTAATGTTGGTAGTGATGTTAATATTGCAATGGTTGATGAAGAGCCTTATCAACAATTGGTGGTTGATTTAAATGCAAGTCTCATACAGCATGATATCTTTATTGACTTGTGTGGAGATGATGTACAACCCCAAACTTTCATTCAAGTAGGAGAACCATCACAAAGAAGTAATATGGAGACTGGATTTATTGATGATAGTGAATCTAATTCACTAGTTCATGATGATAGTGATGAAGAAGATGTGCTTGATGGTAATGATAGTGATACTGAAGAAGAAAGTGACATTGAAGGTGAAATAGAAGATGATGATACAAGTGATAGTACCACAGAGGACTCAACAGAATGAAACTACAATCCTTATAAATGGTAGTTTTTATTAATATATTCTTAACAAGTTAGATTTTGTAATTTTTTTAATATATACTATCTTCATAAAGAGTAGTTTTATTAACATAAAAAACAATCTAAATTTTGTACATTATTGCAGGATATGTCAGGGCTAAAGAGAGGACAGGGTGGGAGAAGCTCTTCCTTCACACGACATGGCAGCACAAGTAGTGGAGGTATTAGCTCTACCCCTACAATTAGACATACCATTTCACCTCGACCACTCCAAGTACAATTTGAGGAATTGCCTGCCGACTCTCCCCCTACTCAAAACAGTAGTGCAGGTAAATTTTCTTTACTTTTATATAATACAAGTAACTAATTAGCATCACATACTTTTGACTATATTATTTGTTCACTTGAATGATAGGCTCTTCTAATATAATTAAGAAAGGTAGAGGAGTTTATAAGTCGCTCAATGTGGACTTAATGACTAAATTTGGAGGAAAGATTGAGCTTACTTTCACAGATGACATGACAAGAGCAGTAGGGCAAGGAGCAAGAGAGCTAGCTAATTATTGTGGTTATGTTATTAGAACCACAATATCTTTGAAGGATTGTGCTGAATGGAAGAATGTTTACACAAATTATATTGATGTTATGATTTTAAAAGTGAAGGTACAATTTATGTTTAGTAAATGTATATCCTAGTTTATTTATGCTTTCAAAACAAGTACTTATGCTGATATTGATTTTTATTTTAGGAAAAATTTCAACCTGCTGTTGCAACAGATGAAGAGAAGTTCCAAAAAATGATAGTGACCACATTGCAAAATGCTTTCAGAAATTGGAAGACCAACTTGCATACCCACTATAAGAAATTTGACACTGATGAAGAAAGGTTGGCAAATCCACCTCAAACTGTAAGTTTTGAAGATTGGGAGTGGTTATTGACATATTTTCAGTCAGATCCATTTAAGGTATCTTACTAAATACTAACTATTTAAATGAATAATATAATTATATCATTCAACATACTTAGTAGTTACTCAAATTTGATGTAGAACAAAAGTGCTAGAAACACACAAAACCGAGCAAAACAAGTAACAAAGCATACATGTGGTCCCCGATCATTTGCGGAGGTTGAGTTCTCTGTAGTAAGTTGCCTCTTCACTACACTTTATTTTTTTATCCATTTTTTTATTTTTCAAGATTTGTTATTTTTGTATATTATGCTTTATAGAGAGACCCCACCACTGGACAGCCTGCCCCCCCAGATCAGGTTTGGGAGATAACACATACTAGGAAGACTGCAGATGGCCAGTTAGAGTGGGTGGATCCGCGATCTGAAGAGATTCATGTATGCATAATATTTGTCCTTTATATTTAATTAAATAATTATATTTTTTTCATTAATGTAATTTGTAATTTGTAACTATAGGATCGCATGCATGAGCTCGTTCAGCAGCAATCCTTAGAGAGTGATGCTCGAATGACCTCTGATGAGATATTGACAGCTGTTCTTGGTGAGAGGTCAGGATATGTTAGAGGAAAAGGTTATGGAGCAGAGCCTCGGAGGAAGAGACTTCACACTCAATCTAGTGATTCACTTGAGAACGTACGCACCCAATTGTATGAAGAGTTTGAAAGAAGATTTCAAGAGGAGCGAGAAAAGATGGAAGCAAATCTTGCTGCAGAGCGAGAGAGGATGGAAGCAAAACGTGCAGCAGAGCGAGAAAAGATGGAAGCAGAACGTGCTGCAGAGCGAGCAAAGATGGAAGCAGAGCGTACGCAACTTGAACAAAGGATGGAGCAATTGATGGAATAGAGAATACAAGCTCAGTTCACTGCTTTCATGCAAAAGATGCAGTTAAATGCTCCTGCAGATACCCCTACTTCTAGCGTCCCTAGTATTGATCCCTCTACGTAATTTTTCTTTTGTATTATGTAATGTATCTTTTAATTGAACAATTTTTTTTTTAGTTAGAGACATAAAGAACACTTTGATGGTTATAAATCTTATTATTTAATATACTATATTTGTGTGTTAATTACTTTATTTTTATTAAACCTTTTAATAATATTTATCAGCAATATAAATAAAATTTTTTGCATAATTAATATATTATAAAAATAATTAAAATGACAATCAGCGGCGACATATGTCGCCGCCGAATCAAGCTTCAGCGGCGACCACAATGTCGCCGCCGAAGCAACCTTCAACGGCGACAACAATGTCGCCACCGAAGCAAGCTTCCACGGCGACATTAGTCGCTGCCGATTCTCATGTTTTAGTGGCGACGTTTCTGAGTGGCAAACTCATCAGCTTTCAGCGGCGACTTTTTTTGTCGTCACTGATAAGTTTCAGCCACGGTCGCTATGGCAACGACTTGGTGGCGACAAAATGTCGCCGCTGAAGCTTTTCAGCGGCGACTTTTGGACTTTCAGCGGCGACATTTGTCACCGCTGAAAGTCGAATTTTTTGTAGTGAGTGCAAGTAGTTTAGATAACTCCTTGCACTTCTTTAAGTTTAAACGAAGTTCATTTTATCTTTTCCAAAATGCCTAGAAATTGGGACAACAGAATAGTCCTTTTTCGCTCAGTTGCCTTAACTTGTCTTACATACTTCTTCGATTCACTTCAGCTGCCATTCATAATCAGACTTCTAATCTCTCTAATTCTTATTTTTATGGGTTCCGAGAAATTATCGTTTACGAGATTTGCTTGTAGAAAGAGGGAAAGTGTCACCTTTGTTATATGAAATATATCCGAAGAATTTATATTTGATATTGTAAATATGTCTGTGTGTGTGTGTGTGTGAAAAATTCTGTGTATTTGATGCTTAAGCTACGTGGGTTTCTTATATTTTGAGCTGGTCACACCCAAATTTTCGAGGCGTGACAGTTAATCTATTTTACTCTTACGTTTAAATCCTCCTCCATCCTATCATTGGTTACAAGGAGAGATATAATTTTGCATCCTCATGATAGACAAAAGTTCCACATAATGATAGAGGGAAAAAAAAAGCTTGCATGGTTGAATAAAACAATGGGTCATGGGCTATCACTCTTTTTTTTTTTTTTTTGGCCTTCCAGCACATTCAAGTTATCAATTTTAAACCGGAAATGTGATTTGTATCTCAACAATATTTGATCATCTTTAACCTCTTTTGTACTTCAGTATATTTTCTCACCGGGGCCATAATGCGGGGCCAGACACTTTCTCAGTAGGATCAGATTCAGTGGCTTATGCTTAGATTCGTATTTATTAGGGTCAGATTCCTCAGTCTCAATGCTTGTGTGCTTGGATTAGCATTTTTTTATAAGTAATTTTATGTTATATGAGATAAATATGTAAGATGATATTTTTCCTGTAAAATGTAAAAGAATTTTTGTTAAGCACTTAAAAAAAAGTTAAGAGTTAAAACTTTTCTCACATATTTATCTTGTATGACGTAAAATCACTTAAAATAAGTTAATCCAATTATACTAATGATGTCTTCTTATTTCAGTTTTCTCCTAAAGAAAGATATCATGTGTATGCTTAGTTTTTAGACAAATTTTTGCCAATTAATTAAAACTGTACATATACTTACTAAAAACATTAGAAACAGACCCAAACATGATCCAAAATAAGCAAATAGCACACAAATATCTAGATCTTGAATTTAGGAGGCATCATGAATAAGTTGCACCCCCAAACAATGTTCCATGCTAGCTTGATCACGTGCTCCAAGAAAAGCCAAAATGAAAAACAAATGGAGAAATTAAGAAATTATATGGGCCTCTTTGTTTCTATTTTTTGTTTTTTCATTCTTAGAACAATTTTATAAAATTATTTTTGAAAACAGGTTTTGGAAACAAAAAAGCAAAAAGTCTGTTTGGATAATTATTTTAAAAAATTAAATTTGAGAATAAACATACTAAGATCAGAGAGTGAAGTTTCGATGATAACTTAAATCCTCAAATGAAAAAATAGCCATTAAATAAAGATGAAAAAGTTTCCAATTTTTCTCAAAAAAAAATAATAAATACTGAAACAATAAGAAAAAAATAGTAAAAGGTTGTTTTGGTTTATTAGTTTTTAAAAACAGATTTTTGTTTTCTTTTATTTTTAAAAACACTAGACTAAAAACAAATTGGCAGATGTTATAAATAGAGAAGAAATAGAGAAGAAAAGAGGATCACCAAGATAGAATATTTCTTATTCCATTTAAGAGTGCTCAATATATTATATATGGCCTGTATTTATAAGCACAGCTTTACATTTTTAATAGAATCTACATATTACATAATAATGTGAGACAATTGTGAGATATAGAGATAATGAGAGATATTAGAAATTATAGGAGATATAGGAGATAATGAGAGATATATAGACATTCACAAAAATATTATTATATTTATAACACTCTCTCTTGGATGTCCAATATATATGAATGTGCCTCATTAAAAAACTTCGACTAGAAAAAAATGTATGGGAAAAAAACCTAGTAAAAGAAAAAGAGTATATTATTTATTGATATACCATGCAATACTGCCTCATTAAAAACATTGCCAAGAAAACCCAATAGCACAAAATCATAGACAACGAAAAAAGAGTACAGCGTCTATCAACTTCCCTTCTTAGCAACATCAATTGACATCTTTGAGTCTGCAAAGTCTAATATAACGAACAAGCCTTCCAAATATTGTAGTAAAATAAAAACGTCAAATATGAATTTTATAATTTTCTAAAAATTATGAGACAAATAGTTCTTTTATGGTTCATCTACACGCAGATCATACTATGATCTCTCAACATGATGATCAAACAAAAATACTTTATCTATATAGCTAGTAAGATTAGTCTTGGGTACCTTCAAATAAAATAATATTACCTCCACAATACCCTTAGGCTGTGTTTGGTAGGAGGGATTGGTTTTGATGGAATGGGAATGGTAATGGGATTGGGAATGGCAATGGTAATGGGATTGGGAATGGGATTTTTATTTTATGTTTGGTAGGAGGTAATGTGTGAAGGAATACATGCATTTATTTTATTTATAATAAGACATATAAAATTAAAAAATTATAATACCCCTTGGTGTTTTAGAGCTTGGGACTCCAACCTTATACACTCCTCTTGTAATAAAAAGAAAACCGCTTGATCATATATATTGTTTTAAAAATAAATACATCGTATCTCAACAAATTTATATACAAAAAAAAATAATAAAAAAATAATACTTCCTTAAAATTTATCCTGACGAATTATTAATAATTCCTTAAAATTATAAAATTTTTATTAGAAAAAGTTATCACTAGGTCTTTAAAATTATAATTTTGTTAAAATTTAGTAATGCGCTTTGAAATTAATAATATGTAAGATAAAAAAAGAAGAAGCAAATGACAGTTGTTACTGTAATTTTCTGTAATATAAGTTCAAGTAAGATAATCCACATCTTACTTTAAATAGTTATTAAAATATTCCTATCTAAAACAAAATATTTTAAGTCTTTAACAAAATATTCCTGTCTGAAATAAAATATTTCAAGCCTGTAACAAAATATACATTTTGTCTTAACATTATTGTAATATGGGTATTTTTGTCTTTTATACATTTTAGTCCTAGGATTCAAACGCATTACCGGGGGGAAGGTGGGATTGTATAATCCCACTAATGTGGCATTGCTCAATCCTGGTAATCTTTAATCCCTCCTACCAAACATGACAAAATCACCCAATCCCTCCTCCAATCCCATTCCCTCCCCCTCAATCCCTCCTACCAAACATGGCCTTAAAGTAACGAAGAATATTTTTTTAACTTCATTTTAACATCTTCATGTTGATAAAGAATTATATCATGTTAATTAGCAAATAATATATCAGGTTTTATGTGGTTAGATAGATATATATGTGCTCCAATGATACTAAAATATGGTACTTCTAGATTGAATATTTATTTATCAGTTTCAAGATGTCTAAATGGATCTTTAGTCTACATTTCAAGATCTTACAGCTATCGGAGCACATAATAGGTCCGGCTTAATTTCCACATAATGGATGTGACTTATCTATATTTATTCTTCCCAAAGCTTTCATTTCAAAATTCTTTCTTTAAGTAATTCTTAGCTTTTAAAAACTCATTAGGAGTTTCAATACTATCATCATAAATATCTGGTCTTTAATATATAACCCAATTGACTGATTTGAAAAGATTAATAAAACTAAATAAATTACTTAATTATAGTATATATTACATTATCTTTCTAAAATATTTATAAGTATCATTAAATTATGTATCGGTTTACAAGTCAGGTAAATTAATTTAAAAAAATACAATAAATATAAATATTTTAAAGGAAGGGAAAAAGACACTCTCAAAAATATTAAATGATAAATGAGGGTATCTGAATTTCAAAATTCCAATTCAGACCCCAGGTATTTTTTTGGAATTTTTAAATCTTGTAAAATTACATAAATGTCCTTTACTATTTTTTTACCTGTTTTTTTTTAAAATACTGCCACCTCAGCAATTTCGGGTGTCAGAGCTCCGACGCCGATAACCCTATCGGCGACCAACCACCTAAGCTCTAGTGACTACTCTTTCTTATGTATTGACTATTCTTTTTTAGCTATTGACTACATTTATTTTTAAACTCCGATGACATGTTACCGAACTCCGGTGACTACTCTTTTTATGAATTGACTACTCTTTTTTAACTATTAACTACATTTACTTTTAAACTCTGATAACTACTCTTGTTAAGCTACTGACTACTCTAGTAATGCGATTTACTACTCTTATGTAGTCAATAGCTATATAAAAATAGTCACCGGAATTTTGAAAACAAAAGTAGTCAATAATTAAAATAGAATAGTTAATAGATATATGGAAGTAGTCACCAACAGTAAAGATAATGTTGTCATTTTACAAGATTTGAAAATTCCAAAATAGTACCTAGGGCCTGAATTGAGATTTTAAAATTTACCTATACTAATTTGTCATTTAGTAATTTTGAGGGTATTTTACTGTCTTTTTCTCTTAAAGTAATTTATTTAGTTTTTTTTAATATTTCTAAATTAATCATCTGTGTCTTATATTGATAATGTAATAAATTCCACCCCCTCTCATAACGCCTTGTAACACGTGAGCTCCGCCCTCCGTAGCGAGGTCTCCACTCCCCCACTTTAAAGTTTAAACTTTAAAAGTAATTGGTGAGACCTAATTTTAGGGCCTGTTTGAGTGTCTCAAAACCGTGGTTTCAGAAGCACTTTTTCACAAAACGAGATAATCTCCTCCACATATTTACTTCGTAATCCGTAAAAACACTTCTGAAACCATGGTTTAATTTCTATCCAAACATCCCCTTAAACAGCCCGCAGCAAACCCGTTGTCAAGTTGAAAAGACCAAATTGGTCGTGAAAAGATTGTTAAAAGAGCTGGGCCGCTGGGCCGTCAAAGCTTTTTTGCTTGAAGACAAACACACTGTTGAAGCAGATTGGAGTGAGCAGAGGCGAAAGGCGCCTTTCTCACCAGATTGAAGCACCATATTTC